CAAAAAAAAAAAAAAAAAAAAAAAATTCTCCCTTACTTTGAACACTTTTATGCCATCATTCTTGGCATTTTCTGAAGAAGTCCTAGAAGTCATCTTTTGTGTCTTTAGTTGTGCTGTCCTAGCTTTCTCAATGTCCTGAATCAATGCATAACATTTACCTTCATAGTCATTTTGATCTTGGAGAGGAGCTAGAAGTTGTACAGTGCCAGATTAAGATGAGAACACACCACAATATTTTTGAGCCTGCCTTTACATTGGATAGAACTTAGCAAAAGCACTCACCATTATGATTTTAATCACTCCTCCTAAAGACATTCAAAGAGGACTTTCCAAAGAGGACTTACTGCTTTAGAAAGCAGTTAAGAAGGATGAAATTAGGCATGTTCAAAGTGAGGGGGATTGTTCTGAAGAAGCTTAAGGGAAATGTGTCTCTTAGTGTAATAAATGTCCTTTAAATATTTACCATATATTTTGATTACCCGTTCTATCACATAAAAGCTAATTTAACATTTTTAATGAAAATACTCAAAAAAGTATTTGGAAACATTGCCTTGGATATATACCAGTTAGGAAGGTGGGAATCTAATATTCTCTAGAAAATAATGCCAACTCCTAAAAATATCAACCACCCACGGGCAGCTATGCCCATTATCTGAAGCATACATAATTTGAATCATGTTGCTTTTCTTCTAAAGTCTTGTAATACTTCACAAGACTGGCTTCTATATTATGCAGGCACCCTGATACTCCCTCTCTTCCATCAGTAGAGATGAGAACACCAACAATTTTATTCCTGAAACAATCAGTGACCTTCCAAGGAGTATAGGAATCTTCTTTTTCTTACTGATGCATAATGAGTGCCGAGAAAAATGTCTGGCACATAATAGGTGCTGAATATCTAATGAACAAGTAAGTATTTACTGAGCACCTAAGGAACAGATCAGAAAAATTAAAAGCTTATGTTCTAAATAGTTTCTTCTAGGCATTGCTATTTTAAAATTAACTTCAACTTACTGTAACATAAAAATACATATATAAAATTAGTACTTCATTAGGTAGTTTTTAAAACACCAAAGCAGGATAGGTTTTAAAATCAAACAATTGGGAATTACTGACCTGGCCCTTTGGCAAACTTCTAGTGTCTCAAGGAAGAACTAACAGAAAACAAAACAGCAATTTTCTTCATCCTTCTATTGTGATGTTGATCAGTTCTTGTTGAATTCTAATATACCTCTAGAAAACAATATTCCTTACCATAAAATAATTCTCTGCTTAAAAGTCTCCAAAGGCTTATTATTACACATAGAATAATAATTATTACATGAGCTATCCCCTCCCAGCATTCATATTATATTCTCCCTTATTCACAACGCTCCCTCACTCACTATGCTCCTGCTACACTAACCCTACCTCTGTTTCTCAAATACACCAGACTCCCAGTTCATTCCTAACTTAGGCTTCTATAATTGCTATTCTTCTGCCTCTCAGAGCTTCACATAACTGGCTCTTCCCCCTAATTCAGGTCTTACTTCAAATGTCATATATTTTGTCAAGCCTTCGCTGATGATTCTGCCTAATTAGTGTTTACCCCAGCTATCACATCACTCTTACTTTCTTCATAACATTACTACTCTGCTGTGTGAAATTCTACTACTACAAAATAAGTACGACGAGAGCATGGACTATATATCCCTAGCACTTAAAAACAGTGCCTGCTACACTCTAGCTGCAACTGGATAAATGAGTACATTAAATTTAGAGATTCCAAAGGATTTCCATGGAAAAACCTTAACTTAAATCAAATGCATTTTTTGAAAATTGAAAATCTAAATAGTGAATTCTAAAAAGTAGTTTCTCAGAAATGTGTACACCTGTATGAACACACACATACTCACATGCTCTCACATGCAAAGAGATGGCCACAGATACAGAAAAAAAAACAGCACAGATTAAAGTAAAAATGGAAGATGAACAAATGAAAGGGTTTTATAAGTAAGAAAATAAAAATGTTTGTTAAGTGTTAGAAGATAAGAAGTAAAAGAGACAATCTCAGTTAGGTAAGTGCATAAGAATAGCTAGGGAAGAACTTAGGAAAGAGGTGAAATAATCAGTCTCTAGTATACCTGCAGGTACAGTAGAAGAGATGCCCCTCTTTGTGTAGTTGCTCGGCTAATTCCAGCTGATGATTGTGCATCAACTTTTCATTTATAACTACCACAAGTGATTTGCCTTTTTCCAGAGTTTCCAAACAGCTTCCTGCACCTATGTGAATAAATTTAGTACAATTTTTAAAAAACAGTACTCTACCAAGTTTTATAGTTAGAACTTTCAAGTTGAATAGTTTTCAATTGTACATTGAAAAATGACAAAAGCATACTCATCACTCTGTTATAAACATAACTTAAAATATATTTTTTTAATCACTACTGACCGTATGGCCCATGAGTCAATGCTATGCTACCTGCTCACTAGTGGTATCTCTGGGTGTGGCCTTGAATCCAAGTAAGATTTAAAATCAACATACTGTACACAAAACTATGCAGTCATCCATGTATATTGTCAGGCTCTACATCCTCTGATTCAATTAATGGTGGATTGAAAATACTCAAAAAAAATACACTTAATACTATATGTGTATTTTTTGGTCATTAGTCCCTAAATAATTCAGTGCAACAACTACTTAATAGTATTTTCATTGTATTACATATTATGAGAAACCTAGCAATGATTTACGGTATACATGAGGATGTGTGTAGATCATGGGCACATATTAGGTCATTTTATATATGGGGCTTTGGCACCCCCTATTTTGTATCCTCGGGTGTCCTGGAACCAATCCTCCATAGATAGCAAGAGACAATTGTACTTCACGTCTATTCAAACACAAGTAGAAAAAGCAAGCCTCCAATGACAGGCACCAATTAAACCACTCTTTATGAGTCTGCCTGTGAGTTACCACCCCCATGATAGTTAAGGTTAGAACTCCCGGAATGCGTATACATATAATATTAGGATTGGTTCAATTTTGAAATCTAAAGTTATCTAGATATTTTAAATGGGAGTAAAGAAGCTGTTGGGTAGATAAAATCCTTTTTTAAATTTCCTATGCTAGGATAAGTAGTTAAGAATAGATTCCAATACTAGACTTATCTGTTCATCATTTACTACCGGCTTGGCATGTTAACTTCTCTTTGTCTCAGTTTCTTCATCTCTAAAGTAGAGACACCAATAATATTTAGTTCTCAGGATTGTTTGGTAGAGTTAAATTCGTTAAAACACAAAGCAATAGAGCAAAGCCAAAAGTTTCATTAGCTATTATACTATACATTTTTAATTATCAACCTATTGGTAATGTCTGTTTCTAAGGACTTTTCTCTCCTCAAAGTAGACATTTTAAAAACCAAGAAACACTCCCCACACACAGCGGTTAAAACTGCAATGTCCCCCAAAAGCTATTGTAAAAGTACTGGAAGTTTTACTAGATACTTGTAAAGATACTGGAAGATCATCTGGCTGGTTCTCCAGAGTATGTGGTTGCTAAAGAATATTTTTTACTGAGTTTATTTCACATTCACACTCAATAGAAATATTTTTAAAGTCTCTCAAATCCAATTTCTCTACGACCAATTCGACAATCCTTTCAGATCTAAGCCCACGTACTAATTTCAGGTTGACGATTTTTATACATCATTAGGAAAATTATCTTGTCCCTCTGTGTTTAGGGGTCCTTATTGTAAAGTCGGGCTACAGAGATCAATTTCCCCTCTTTCTCTTCCTCGGAAATGCTAAATTCTTTCCACCAAAGTTCTCAATTCTTATATTCAAACAATTACACTCAGCAAGGTTACTGCGAATTTATCCTGTAAAACACACTTATTTAATAATTTTATTTTACCACGAAAAAATTCGAGTATCAGTTACTTATTGTTATCAAAAGCTTAAGACTCTAAAACATTTACCTGCGTGACTAATAACAAGATCTGCTCTCTGAAGGTCTTCTTGCAAGGAATCCTTGTACCTGTAAACATCCAGAGTAAAGGACTCAGTGCTGAATGGTTCAGGTACCAACGTTCCTCTACCAATTTGGAGAGTAAGTCGGCTGTAACCGAGGCTCTCGAAGATCTAAAACAGGAAACAAGAAAACGCGCGGGCCTTTTAAATTGGCTTCTGTAAGAACAGCAGCAACAACAAACCATAAAGTGGGTAATTCAGACCGAAGCACGCGCGGCCCAACAGCATGCCCGCAGCCAATTTCAGTCAGTTTTCAAAGCGAACGCTCTTTTCCCGTCCCGGCCCAGCAAGGAACCTCCGGAGCCCCAGTGAATCTAAGCACCCGGCTCACAGAGACGGGAAAGAACCGGACCCGCTAAAATGGGGCCGAAAAAAGACTTCGAGACGGCGCCGTAAACCACGAGGGAACCCAGTCTGGCTCGGACTCACGGGTCAAGCGGGGAGAAGCGCGAGCTCTGCCTCAGGAGCAGCGCTCCGGGGCCGC